TTTTCAATAGACCTCTAAAATAATCATGCAACAGTACTGTATTCAAGTTATACTGTTCACAAATAAAGGAAATGAACATTTTTCTAAAAACAATACTAGTATATATTATTCAATGTACATGTATAACATGTACTATACATTGTATTCTTTGGGTTATATATCCCTAAACATAAATTGTCACTATTGACGTCTCTCTTTTTCGAAATTTGGAGAAACAAAACAGATTAAAAATACAATAGTGAAAATTGTAAATTTATTTCTCGGTATGTATATCTGAAACGTTAACAGTGACATGTGTTAGCTGTATCAATTCTAAAATACAAAGCTTCGAGTATTCAAATATATAATATATATTTTAAGTTTCAAACTAATCAAAGCATTGTATCAAATGAAACGGAATTTGCTTGTTCACTTCGAATTTTTAGTAAAAAAATGGTTCTTTTTAAAGGATTTTATTTATCTCTTTGTCTGTATCCCTTTCTTCCAGCTATCTGACTATTTGTCTCTTAATAAACATCTTAAACGCTTAAAGAAATTACCTTGAATAGCTAGAAAACTCAATAAAACTTCAATAATTGTCATTTATATAGCACAAGGCAGATATAAATGTTTTGACAAGTGATGTCTCATTGTTAAGGAAAGGTGGATGTGTGTTTCTATTAAATTTTATATCATGAAAGGTTGCAATTGCAACGCTTAATGATACATTAGGTTGTATCATTAGTCGTCGACTATGTCGATATTTGCTTGTTTCATTAAGCGTCAGTGTTGCATTGTATTTGTGACGCTTAATGATTAATTCTATCATTAAGCATCGATTCAGTATTAGCAGTTGAGAATGTCAGCTATGAATGCAATAAATTGCGGTATTTAGCGTTGCAATTGCAACGCTTAATGCTATTTGTATCATTAAGCGGCGTTTAATCATTAGAGGTTGCTAAATGGCATATTCTTAGTGATATGCGATGTTTTTCGGGTGGGATATGTACGAAGGGATGAGAGATCAACATAGTTTTTATGAATTAAAAAATGTTTATATAGCTTGTAATGCACTAAAATCAACAAATATACGAGGGGCATTTCAAAAGTCCTGAGAACTGTTTCATAAAAAAATTAACCATTTTACAGAAATTATTGAGTTTGATATCATTGGAAAGATAAGAAAAATATACACATATTGTGACATCACTTTATAATTTTTATGACGTAATATCTCAAAAAATGACGTCAGAATGAAGAATGTTTAGCATACTGAAAACTCGCGTTTTTATCCACATGGCACAATTTTAAAAGTGCTGCCAAAGGCTTATTTGAAAATATATTTAAAAGAAAATTTTCATTTGCAAAGAAGTAGAGTAGGACAATGGTACTGTATATCAACAATGCTATATTTCACTGTTTGGTTTGTTAACTAGCGCGGTTTATGTCCGGTTATGCTATCATCGACATTCATCCAAGATTTCAAGTTACATGATACGACTGGATTTTCGGTTTTTATATACTCCTCTATTGTATTAAATAAAACAATTTCTGTATAAAACTAAAGTATATTAATGCAGTTTTTAACAAATATATTTTGAGTAACAGTACTCTTACCGTTTACAAATAAAATGTACAAAAGTTTTGCCCTTGACTTGTTTCTGTGCGTATTTTTCTCATTAATTCAACATCGGCGCCCCAAAACTCAGTACTGCTTTTGACTTTTGACTCCATAAACGGTTTATAAATTACATAGACATGAAAAATCTTATTTAATTTCCATGAATTAATTTTTGCGAATATGTGGAGGTACGGCGGGGTTACAACTGTGCCTGCGCCATTTTGGATTTTACGAGAAAATATGGGGCACACTAAACTTCACTTCTCTTGAGCCTTCATCAATCCCACACATATGCTTAAAAACCTGACGAATTGATGCCATAAAATGTAGTAACACGATCGTATATTTTTCTTTGTTTGCCAACTTTGCCCTATTCTCACAGTTGGGTCTGTTTTACGCAATATTTTGAGCAATATTCGATAAAAACATTCGATGTTTGACAATTGCTTAAACCATCTCAGAACAAGAAGATCTCTGAAATAGACCACCATATGATAGATTGTAGTCTATGTAAAGATTCTACCAACTGTCATTTACGTCCGATAGCTTGCACCCGAGTAATGAGCAAAAGTTGTTTTTAAAATTTTACATTGATGAAATTGTGTCTTTTGTTACGTCATTTTTATGACCAATATTGTAAGTATGTGGAAGTATGACGTCATTTTCGGGGGTATTACGTCATAAAAATTATAAAGTGACGTCACAATATGTGTGTATTTTTCTGTTCTTTCCAATGATATCAAACTCAATAATTTACGTAAAATGGTTAATATTTTATTAAACAGTTCTCAGGACTTTTGAAATGCCCCTCGTATGTATCTGGTCGAGAGAAAAAAGAGTATTATATTTCCTAAACTAAACTCTAAATTAATCTATGAAAAAAAATTCACCATTGTAAGGGATGGGTGTAATTTTTTTACAGCGATAAATTGTCCATGTCTAAATTCAATCAAATACTTATATGATTATATATAAAATTCACGGACACATCAAATCCATGACTAATCATGTTTACATTGAAGCTTCCTCAGGTAGGGTAGATTCAATTTTGTTCTAATCATTACGGTCGGGGGGAAGGGTCACAGCTTTAAAGAGTAAAAAAAGCCATAGTAAGTCAAAGAAATATGCAGACACCTTTGTCAGTGTAAATTCAAGTATTCAACTTTGTTCAAATCATACACGTAGAACCCTCCAATAGCCACAGTGCTCAGGCGAGTGATATGGTCCATGGGCCTCTTGTTTATCTCATATTCCTCGGATAAGTAATAATTCGCCATCCATAAAATGTATTTCGTTTTTAGTTTTTTTTAGCCTAATGATTTTTTTTACCTGATCTGTAATCAATCAAGATAAATGTTAATACAAAAATTCAGATCAACATCTGCAAGCATTTAGGTAAAATAGCATAATAATTTTTATACTATACGTCAAAAGTTTATTACAGAAACACGTTCCTGTGTGAAACTGTTTAAAATTAAAACTGCCGTAATTTTCTTATGAATCAATGAAATTGAACGAAATTCAAATTTGATCTGTAACTAATCAAGACACAGACCATTAAACGTGCTACTACACCTCAGAAACGAAACGAACCGTCACGTTCAAGAAACGTACAATACTGTTCACAAAACAAACCGTACCATTCAAAAATTAAAAAAACGAACGTTAAACATACTTAAGTAAAACTAAAAAAAAAAGACAAAACAAAACTAAAAAAAATTAAAGGAGGATAAAACAGATCAAACATTCCAGTTTCTAATTACTTCATTGAAAGGGTCATTTTGTTTGCGGCCGAGTTTGACGCTTGCATCAAAATATATATATATATATATATATATATATATATAGAAAGCACAGAGAAATTCACTTTTACAAGGATACTCACTTCCGCCCCAGCCCGGGGTTGAACTCTCGACCTACGGAATCTGTCTCCTAGCAGTGCAGGAACAGCGCGTTAGACCGCTCGGCTATCTAGGCAAGTTAAAAAACTTGCTTTCGATGCCGATGGAATTCTCACAACGCTGCCCTACACTACACGGTCATTGAGAATGGAAGTGAGATACAGTTATTTGGACATTAGTTTTTAGAGGATCGTTACCAATACATGTTGTGATGAAATTAATTCTATTTATAAAGCACAAATTACAACAACTCTTAAACTAATATAACTGCCCTAAGTGAAGGAATATTAATATAGAAAGCACAGAGAAATTCACTTTTACAAGGATACTCACTTCCGCCCCAGCCCGGGGTTGAACTCTCGACCTACGGAATCTGTCTCCTAGCAGTGCAGGAACAGCGCGTTAGACCGCTCGGCTATCTAGGCAAGTTAAAAAACTTGCTTTCGATGCCGATGGAATTCTCACAACGCTGCCCTACACTACACGGTCATTGAGAATGGAAGTGAGATACAGTTATTTGGACATTAGTTTTTAGAGGATCGTTACCAATACATGTTGTGATGAAATTAATTCTATTTATAAAGCACAAATTACAACAACTCTTAAACTAATATAACTGCCCTAAGTGAAGGAATATTAATATAGAAAGCACAGAGAAATTCACTTTTACAAGGATACTCACTTCCGCCCCAGCCCGGGGTTGAACTCTCGACCTACGGAATCTGTCTCCTAGCAGTGCAGGAACAGCGCGTTAGACCGCTCGGCTATCTAGGCAAGTTAAAAAACTTGCTTTCGATGCCGATGGAATTCTCACAACGCTGCCCTACACTACACGGTCATTGAGAATGGAAGAATGGACGTTTTTTTAATATTAACCTTAAGAGTACAATTAGACTATTTGAATGTCTACTTGACACATTTTATTGATTCCAGTATTACAGCGTATATATATATACGTTTCTTGTCCTTATCTTTAATGCATCATTCGCCAGTAGGAGACCACTATCTGATTAGTGACAACTTACATTAGAAGGCTTAACTCGCTTCCGGATTTCAAACATAATGTGTTACAGTGTACATAGTATATCTCGAGATAGAGATATCAATTAATCACTGATAGATAAAAAATTAAATAAAATGCCCACTAAGTTTCAATGTAAGTTAAATCTTAAATTCATATGTTCATGTAAATTCAAATAATTATCATTTCCGAAATTGAAAATAAGTTTCGATATATGCACGATCTGTAGGTGGAGGTTTGGAAGCCTGGACGGACTGTTACATTCACTTTATATACCTTTGATCATAACATCCCAAGTCGTAAGTTCTCAACCCCCACTCTCACTCTAACCAGTTTTCTTAATTTGCTTGTTTAAAAAATAATTTGGAGGACGTTTTTTTAATATTAACCTTAAGAGTACAATTAGACTATTTGAATGTCTACTTGACACATTTTATTGATTCCAGTATTACAGTGTATATATTGTTTTCTTTCGTAGATGCCTTCGTAGGAAAATACAGCGCTTGGGAGACAAAGTTATCAGGTGAACAATTATCTTTTACATCTATAATAATAATGATCGGATTTATATAGCGCTTTTCTAGCATAAATGCTACTCAAAGCGCTTTACAATCATTATTACCCCAGAAGACCTTAACAATCCAGAAGCTTTCTCAGTGCAAGCTGCCGTTATCAGCGCTAGAACACTAACTTTCTGACAATATCGTTCACTGTCTATAGCCGGGTACCCCTTTTACACTTGGGTGGAGTGACATCTACTTATTTTAGATCAAAACGAGTTTTTTGACATATTTTCTTAATTAACGGTAAACAGAAAGTAAATTGCATAGATATAATAAATTTATTTTTTTATAGTATGTTTTTAAAGTTTGCATTGCTTTCACAGTATTAATAGATGAAAAGTCTTTATTTGCAAAGCATCTTTACTTGCTGTGAGTGGGTTTTATATGATCAAGAAGGGGTGAAAGTCATTTTTTATTCGGTAAAAAAAAATACCGGGAACGCCCCAGACTCTACCGTGTTCCCGCCCCAACATTCGCATATTGTACGTTACTGGCAGAAAATAATTGGAAAAATAGCATCACCTACATAGTTATCGTTTCAATAAAACATAGTTCAAAAGCCCATCACAACTAAAGGTGATATGTTCCTTACTGTACAACACAATGCAGTAGAATTCCGTATTTGTCCCCCGCTTCAACTAAAAGTTTGGGATATTAATTTTAATCTGTCTGCCCGTCTGTTCGTCCGTAAGAACGATATATCTTAGGAATATCTTAGGATACGTCTTATACGGTCTTAGGGTGGGAGACGAAAGCAATCAAGGCATACCATAAGTTAAGACGTTGTGAATTCCATCTAAGGCATTTCGGTTTTTTTGTTTTGTTTTGTTTTGTTTTGTTTTTTTTTTTTTAATCTTAGCAGTACAGAAAGTTCCCATTCCAAATATCCAATATATTTATTGGGGAATGTAGAAGGGGTGTTTCTGGAAGTAAGTTTTCCCCTGAGGTCTTAAAAGCATATACATTAGTTAACCCCCCCCCACCCGGACTCACACACACACCCTGACGAAAAAAACGCAAACCTCTGGTAATGAATCAGAAATCCATATAGAAATACATGTTTCCTACCATAATTTTTTTTTAAAAATCAGGTTTGGCGACTCAGATTATTACCGTTTTAGCTCACGCTTAGCTTCGTTTGAGCCGAAGGCTCAAGTGAGCTTTTCTGATAACATTTTGTCCGGCGTCCGTCTGTCCGTGTTTACGAGAGTGCATTTATTGGGTATTTTTCATGCTCATTTTGTACTTATTGGGTACTATTTGCTTATTGGGTATACCCAATAAGAAGTGTCGCTTAATGTGCTTAAAACACGTAAATTGGGTATTTGCCGGCAGGTACCCAACAACGACGATTTGTCCAATAAAGTGTCAAAAAAAGTTGTTTCTATGGACAGACCCTGTTTTGCGTTTCGGTTTTACACTTGGAACTCTTAATTCTCGAGAGTTCCGAAAATCAACTTCCGGTAGTCATGATCATAACGGCGTTTGTTTTCACGAAGAAATATATGGTGACTAAGAAACACACGATGTCAACAAGATTGTCTGTTTGACAAGAGAAAAGGTAAGTTTATTCGATTAATATTTACCAAATGCTAGATTCTTGCTTAAGGAAAATTAATTTTAACGTAATTTAAAAGTAATTGTGCACAAAATTAAAATAATTATCGAAACAATCCATTCTAAGTAGCATTTGTATGTATTTTGAATTTCCTCTGCCTTTTTAACTCTCTTTAGCGCGAGAAGCATTTAGAAAATTATCGTATATATTAAACAAGTTTATCTTTTAAAAAAGATAGGCGAGCTAGCGTCGTAGCAATTTTTAAACACAGAAAGGAAGGTCCGTGATTAAGTGATTTATTTTGCTGAATTCTGTAATTTTTATCGAGGCTGGAGTGTCGTTATGCAGTTTTAGTATATCGTAGAGGGAGTCAGCAAGATTCCAGTTCCCCAAGAGCAAGTCTATTTCCCGCGGCGCTTGCGCAACAACTGTTAGGTTTTAAAAAGCCATGCACATCAGATTTTTAAAAAATAAATAATGGATTTTAGTGTGAATTCTTGCTTCTGGAATTTGTCAGAATGGCTGAATGGAACAATCAGAAATAAGAATCTATCTTTGCTTGTGCTTAGACGTAAAAAAGAAAACCTCCCTTGTCTTTGTTTAGAACAATCAAGTAATGGGCTTTTCCGTCAGAAAAAAGGGAAAATTGAAGTATAATTTGCAATTATGTAGTTATATTTAAACTATAAGCTACACAATAATTAAACAGTTATTTAATTATACAACGGAATTGTTACCGTACGGTCTATCTAAATTAGTTTTTACAGTTTTCCAAAAATGCTTCACCATGAAGCAGAGCATCATTTTCTATCATAATCATTAATTTATATATAATTAAATTTTGCATGCTAAAATAAAACTTTTTAATTTTAAAAGAATTACCTTTAGTTAGTACCCTGACTTTTTTCACTATTAACTTTTTTTCAATATTGCTTTTTAAATTTTGACTCTATATTTACGCTAGTAACTTTTTACTTGGGGGTAGTAACTTTATTGCTGCCACCAGGCTGTTGGCTATTACTTGAATTTTTAATTGCACAAAGAGCTATTAGGTTTACATATGCGAATTTATATGATTAATACATGCTTGTGATTCAGGATACTTGGATATAAATTTAAGATCCATTTCCCTCATATTTAATTCATATTTTTTATAATACATTAAATTGGTTTAGATTTTTTATTGAAGTTACCAATGATTGCGATTAAATTTAAAACCCTAATTATGTTTAGTTGAGGATTAAATGATTTTTCAATATAAAACAGGTCAACTTCAGGTTTGAACATTGCTGAAAATACAGAAGAAGATGACCCTCAGGAATCGGACAGTTGTAAGTAATCAGTAAAAAAAAATCAGGAACCCAGGAAAGCTATTGTTAATGCCATGCAAGTACAAAATACCTCTTTAGTCCTCATGTTCAGTTTGATTATTTTCCTTAGTATATATTTATTGTAGTGTAGCTTTTGATGCCCTTTACTTTTGCCACATTTTGTAAGTTCTATGGTCGACACAATGACCTTGTCAGCAAAAACAATTTCCGCAGCACTGTTAAGGCCTACTATGAGAAATTATCGGAAAATAGACGTGCAATAAAGAGGTATTTTTAAAACTGAATTTATCTTAATTAAGCTGATTTATTATCACAAACCTGTAATACTTATGGAAATAGCATAGTATGACCCACTCTGTACTGTAGGAAGTTTAGTCCCATCGATGGACAGTCACGTGATGAATGCATAGTAAGTGTACAGAATGTAGGTCATTAACAAATTTCAATATCGCAAGTGCATACCCTAGTTGAAATTAAAAATTCAAGCTATTAATTGTTTCTGCATACTTTGTAGTTTCTGAAAAGTGCTGCTGCTTTGAATAGAATTCGCGTTTTAATAGTTAAATTTTCAAGTAAATAGGCCAATGTCGAAATATGTTTGACTTTTACCAAATATTTTGTGTACTTATAAAATCACGCCTTCGATTTAAAGAAAGCAGCAGCATTTTTCAAGTTAAGGAAAATATCCTTTATTCAAAAAATGGTTCAGATCTATGCAGTGTATGCCCTTGTGAAAGTACGATTTTAAGAGGCATCTCGATGTAAAATATACGTAATCTGTGCATAAAAACAGACATAATTGATAAAATACATTCTCTCGATAGTTACTTTATAATTGCACAAAACAAAGGATATACATTGGTAGTTATCGACTATTTAAAACTTGTAAATAACATTCCGTTTAACGATAAAAAGCATTTTTCATTGTTAAATAATTCCTCAATCTGCCTCTCACAGCACATGAAATACGTCATTTTTACCATATGACGTCATGTTTACAAGTTCATCGCTATCAGTGCTATGTTTATAACTTGCTACATGGGATTTAACAAGAAACTTTTTTAATGCATTGATAAGTTATATTGTTGATTATTATGGTAATAAAGTTAAAAGTTGCAAATAATTTCATTTTCAGGTATTATGAGAAATACATAAAAGTCATAATTTTGTGTGACGTCACAGTAAACTTTTCCTGTATAAATTAAGCCCCGCCCCCTTTTTCAAGCCTTGACAATGCTGCAATCCTGATCATGACAAGGATCACATGGCAGGTGTTATTGATCAGCAGGGGAAGCTCACTCCTCCATGGCACCTGATCCCACCCCTTTTGTTTTGGGGTCCGTGTTTGCTATGCTCTTAATTTGTATTGTTTTGATGCGCGTTGAGATTGAATACTATTCGTTGTTAGTATCTCGATATCTTTCCTTTAACGTAATTTTTCATATTTTCAAGTTCTATCCAGCTTAGTCAGTTTTAATTAGACTTTATTCAAAGCATTATTCAGGAAGGGGAGGGGGTCAAGTGTGTTTCTGTCCATGCCAATATAATATTAAAGTATTTCTTAAGATTTGGGTCAATTTGAAATCCTCTTCAGTAGAACCATTGTGCTAAATACAGTAATAATGTGAAAGATTTGTCATGTGGTATAGAGATGTTTTTGAAGATTGTGGCCCCCTATTGTACTGATAGTGTTACATTAGAAGCCTAAATTTTCATTGAATAGGTGTAGAATCTTCTTAGAATATCTTTCTTAAGAATAAGAAAATTAAAAACTGTTTAATAAATACGCAGCATATTTTTGTGTGTTGAATTATGATTCCAATATGCTTAAATAATGGCAGTGGGGATGGGGGGTATTAGGATGAAGATGAAATTAGATATTGAAGAGAAGGAAAAAGAGTAGATAAATTTATTTATCAATACATATTTGTGAATAAGAAATATACTTCTCCTTCATGGTTGGGTAAGATCAATATAAAATTTGATCTTTCTGTGGCCAAGTAAAACACATTTGATACTGACTAGAAATGTCGTTATCTAATTGTAGAATGAATAAAACGGACAGAAGCAGTACTGAAGGAGATGCATGAAATGAGGAATATTTCAAAGAATGTCTAAACAAAACCACTACTCTTGGAAGACAAGATAGCAGTATTGCAATTTTAAAGAGCAGCTCAATGGAAGAATCATACAGTATAGGCCATGGGAGACACTGAAGAAGAAAGCATGGAACAGTGACAAAAATAAAATCATTTTGACATTATTGTGTTATAGGATTAAAGCCCTACCTGTCAAATTTTTGCATGTAATGACCTTTCGTTTGCTGTAAGACTACTGACAGTTAGTATTTGATTGAATATCTTCATCCCAATTTGTCGAAAAGATTTTGACATAGCGGCATAGCGTGTATTTTTTTTTAATCTTTTGATACAAAGAATTTCATTCATTGTACTTGTAATTGAGTTTAAAATAACGATGAAAAGTTTAGGTCCTGGTGCAACACACTGTTTTATTGGCTGAAATAGTTTGTGATTTCCAACCCAATTCATTCCATGAATATCAGAAGTATTTTTCTATTACAGGGAAAATATACTTCGTACAGGTATCTGTAATAAACAGGATTTCTTAAGATTTTTTTTACAAGCTTAATATGTAATCGGTTCAACTTTTATTTTCATAATATAGAACTCAATCTGAGCAACTGAAGGAAAATATTTTTTTTATGTGCCAATGTGGTTTTAAGTCTGAATTTTTTGGTACTTACTTACAGATATTTCATCATACAATATATTTAGAAAAGACATTTTTCTCCCTATCTTGCTCTACTTGTAACGAGTTATACTTAATTCCAAGTGTAATACTTAAATTTTACAATCATGGTTATAAAAATGGTTATATTTACAGCCAAAGTTTAGGCACAAAATGCTTATATCTTCCTATCATTTGCAAATTGTTCACTGAATGAGATGTTGAATGTTAGAATTAAAGTATTCAAGATCTTTTGGACTTTACTATACTTATGCAGATAAATATGAATTCAACAAGGGAGAGACAAATGTCATACCTATTGGGTTTGCAGTCTATTGCGAGAGTATAGATATCCAAGACATAAAACCTTTTGGGGGAGGGTGATTTTAATGAAAGGTATGTTACCCAAGAAGTATTGGACAAGTAAACATTACCTGTAGGGAATTATTCTAGTGCCGGAATGAAATACCCAAGAGTAGTTGGAAAGATATCCAATACTGATGAAGTATTCTGATGAAGCAATTCAAGAAACCCAATAAGAATTGGACAAGTGTACATTATCTGTTGGGTGGGATATAGATATCCAGAAAGAGTTGGACAGGTGTCCATTACCTGTTGGGTTGTATTCTGATGAAGCAATTCAGGAAACCAAAGAAGAATGGGGCAAGTGTCCATCACCTGTTGGGCGGGATGTAGATATCCAAGAATAGTTGGACAGGTGTCCATTACCTGTTGGGTTGTATTTTGATGAAACAATTCAAGAAACACATAAAGAATCAGACATGTTCCCATAACCTTTTGGGTTGGATGTAGATATCCAAAAAGAGTTGGACAGGTGTCCATTACATATTGGGTTTTATTTTGATGAAGCAATTCAAGAAACCAAAGAAGATATGGAGAAGTGTTCATCACTTGTTGGGTTGAATGTAGATATCCAAGAAGAGTTGGACGGGTGTCAATTACCTGTTGGGTTGTATTTTGATGAAGCAATTCAAGAAACCCAAGAAGAAATGGACACGTGTCCATCACCTGTTGGGTTGGATGTAGATATCCAAGAAGAGTTGGACAGGTGTTCATTACCTCTTGGGTTGTATTCAGATGAAGCAATTCAAGAAACCCAAGAAGAAATGGACAAGTGTCCATCACCTGTTGGGTGGGATATAGATATCAAAGAAGAGTTGGACAGGTGTTCATTACCTGCTGGGTTGTATTCTTATGAAGCAATTCGAGAAACCCAAGAAGAAATGGACAAGTGTCTATCACCTGTTTGGTTTTATGTAAATATCCAAGAAGAGTTGGACAGGTGTCCATTACCTGTTGGGTTGCATTTTGATGAAGCAATTCAAGAAACCCTAGAAAAATGGACATGCAAGTGTCCATTACTTGTTGGGTTGGATGTAGATATCCATGAAGAGTTGGACAGGTGTCCATTACCTGTTGGGTTGTAATCAGATGAAGTAATTCAAGAAACCCAAGAAAAATTGGACGTGTCCATCACCTGTTGGGTTGGATGTAGATATCCAAGAAGAATTGGACAGGTGCCCATTACTTGTTGGGTTGTTTTTTGATGAAGCCATTCAAGAAACCCACGAAAAATTGGACAAGTATCCATTGCGTGTTTGGTAACTTAAATCCCTTCATCAGAATACAATCCAGCAGGTTTTGGACAGCTGTCCAGTTCCTCTCGGATACCTTCATTCCACCCAAAATGCAATGGACATTTGCCAATTTTCTTATCACACATATATATCAGTTTCTCCTCAAATACTTATTTGTGGTATTCAAGAAATGTTGAACATAATCTGAGATGTATTGAGGTGTGTTTGCAGAATTCAGTTTACTGTATTTAGGTATTCATATATTTCAATATAAGGTATTTGTAAAATATATATCTTAATTGCAAAGATCAATTTTAGGGGTTACAATGAAAAGTTATCACAGAAATGGACAAAATTGTGTGTTCAAGCCGAAAGGTTTTCAGTCTTGTCTGAATTTACCAGCAAATAATAAAAATATAATAAATTAGGAATGAATGAAGAATAATAAGAAAAACCCAATAAAATATGGACATTTGGAATTATATCTAATAACATTTGAACATTTTTTTATTTTATTTTATATGTTTTATTGGCACAAAAACAATTATAGTTTTAAATACGGACATTTGGAATTATATCCAATAAGATTTAAACATTTACTACCCATTTTTTTGTATCCAATAAGCAGTATCCAATAGGACTTGGACTTGATGTACCCAATATATAACCAAATGTGTGTCCGTATGTCTGTCTGTCCGTCTGTCTGTCTGTAAACTTTTCACATTTTCGACTTCTCAAGAACCACTGGGCCAATTTCAACCAAATTTGGCACAAAGTATCCTTGGGTAAAGGGAATTCAAGTTTGTTCAAATGAAGGGCCAGGTCCTTTTCCAAGGGGTGGTAATCATGCCTTTGTTAAAAGTTAATGGCATTTTTAAAATATCTTGCTCTCCAGAACTGCTGGGCCAGGAAAGATTAAACTCATGTGGAAGCATCCTTAGGTTGTGTAGATTTAAATTTGTTCAAATTATGACCCCCGGGGCAAGGGCGGGGCCAAAATGGCCGATCCAAGTTTTACATAGGAATATATAAGAAAAATCTATAAAAATCTTCTTCTCCAGAACCACTGGGCCAGGAAAGATGAAACTCATGTGGAATCATCCTTAGGTAGTGTAGATTCAAGTTTGTTCAAATCATGACCCACGGCGCAAGGGTGGGGCCAAAATGGCCGACCCAAGTTTTACATAGGAATATATATGAAATATCTTTAAAAATCCTTCTCAAGAATCACTGGGCCAGGAAAGATAAAACTCATGTGGAATCATCCTCAGGTACTGTAGATTCAAGTTTTTTTTAAAATCATGACCCCCGGGTCAAGGGTGGGGCCAAAATGGCCGACCAAAGTTTTACATAGGGAAATATAGGGAAACCTTTTAAAATCTTCTTTTCAAGTATTTCAAAGCTATGATTAGTGATATCTATATGGAATCATCCTCAGGTAGTGTAGATTCTAGTTTGTTCAAATGATGAACGCCTGGAAGGGGAGGTGGGAGTAAATTCAAGCCCGATGTGCTCAGGTAAGCGCTGTGGTCCCTGGGCCTTTTGTTATATAATTCGTCAGTATTATTTTTTCTGGATGCCCCCTCCCCTTTTTTTAGAAAAATGCTTGGATTCAGTATTGATATGTTTATTTTATTTCAAATTCAATTTAATTTATTCCGCACATTCATCGATTTTCATTCCTTATTTTAGTAGTTTCGTTCGTTTGTTATGTGTAATAAAATGTTATATAAAAGAGCTACTTATGTACAAAATTGAAACAGAAGAGCTCAACTACATAAGCTTCAGAAAAGCTACATTTGTAGAAAACTCCATTTATTTAGCTTCAGATTTGTCGCTCGTTGGTCTTAAAATTATATGGTTGGCCGTCCATTTAAGTTTTTTTTCAAACCAAGTTTATGAAACCAAAAGATAGCCCCTTAAATACGGATGGCTGAAACATGCAAGCTCTAGTAGTTTCGGCCTGAAGTTGTTTCGGTCTTAGTCGTTTCGGCCTCGGTTAGTATCTTAGTACCAGTAATACATTTTCTAACGTGTATTTTTCCTATTAGAATGTATAATAATGTATCCGAAGCGATCAAAAGAGTTGTGTATTTCACAGTTTGTGTAATACATCATATTTCCAGATTTTTTTTTTTTTTGAATTATTATTCATCAATATTTTTATATATTTAAAAGTAGGAACAGCAGCGCTACATAAAATAAAGAACAAAGTCAGCCACACACAGATATATATATATATATATATATATATATATATATATATATATATATATATATATATATATATATATATATATATATATATATATATATATATATATATTTTTATTTTATTTTATATATTTTATTGGCACAAACACAATTATAGGTACATTAATTTGAAAATATAGTTGACATAAGTCACATACTATGCATTCAGTCATCTCAATCACAGTATATTTTTTGTCACTGTCCAGCACAATTATTTACATCAACATGGTCCCAAGAATTAACATTTAATGGTCAGGCCGTGGTACCGAAGGGGCAATGATGTGGCCAACCTAACGCAGAAACAAGGAGGTTGTGATTGTGCTCTCCTTATATTCAGACCACATCTCGAATAATGCTCCATGTACATGTATCCGACTGTAGGCTGTGCGTTGGTAACGGGTGAGCTGTTGCTCATCAACCAACCAACCATCCTCTTGCTCTATTCTGGTTGACTGGGCATCAGGTTCTTAAATACTGCATTATAAAAAAAATAATTAGATAAATTAAATAACACTAACTATATATTTCATTTTCAATTACCGGCATGTCAATTATACTTATTATGATCCTGCTCATTCAAGTTTGACTACGAAATGAAAATTACGCAATTCAATTCAATTCAATTTATTCTCTCAAAACCATGTAAATGGTACATGAGGTACAAAACATATAAAACATATATACATATAATACAGTGGGTCAAGCAGAAGGTGATAATTAAGGGGAACAGACAATACTATTAATTTTAGAAAGAAATGTACATAATTGTTTCAAAGAATCAACATCATTTTGGCACATGATTTCACAAAACTTGATGACATTTGGATAAGAACAAAATTTTTGGTTCAAATGAACTTTTCTTACATGTAGTTGGTTTAAAGCACTACATTCTAAAATATAATGACATAGGTGTTTTCTTGCATTACATAATGAGCCTGTACGAGAAAATACAATCCCTAAATAATTAAAATCCTTGACTACTTCTATGATACTGCCATTATATGTAAACATATTCTTTCGCTGTCTACCCTTTGAAAAAAATAAGTATCTTTGTTTTCTTGATATTCACACAGAATTTCCATTCTTCACAATATTTGTAAAATTCATTTACCGGGAATGCTCTCTGAAGATCTTCAGCAATTTCGGCAAGAATTACAGTATCATCGGCATAAAATAATGTTGCAGCATTCTCTGCAATTGAAATATCGTTACCGGTTGAGGGAACTGAAGCAAGCGACATGTGTAATGTCGCAGCATTCTCTGCATTTGAAGTTTCGCCACCGGTTGAGGGAACTGATGCACAATTTTCTGCAATGTAAACACCTGATTTCATATTTGACAGTTTTGTAAGGAAAAAAATAAAGTATACACGAGTGAGAGTGGGAGAGTCTTCCGATTTCTTTTTAATTTTGTT